ATGATCGTCACTTCCACTAGCTAACTTTGTGGGATCCACACGAGAAAAGTCTACAGACCATGCCCTTTCATTATGCTCAGTCAACTGCGAAAAAGCTTGACCAGTAGACGCATCCCATAACTGAAATCATTGACAGTGTCAAGAAGTTCAGACAAAACTAGTGAACTTAACACCAGCATATACAGGTCAGAGTTAATGAGCGGCAAAAGACGAGAGAAATTAAGCAGTATGTGTAATACGTAATAGTCATATAAGGGTGAAGTAAATACCAGACCAAGACCAGCAAAATCAAATTGTGAGAGAAAGAGAACAGACTTGAAGAGACACAAAGTCTAGAAGACTCGCACAATTTATTTAAGTTGTTTAAAAAGTATATCAAAAGGCATTTTAGGAGATATGCAAAAAGAAGATGAGGTAGCTATGTCATTCAAGAGTGAACAAGAATCATGATACTGTGCATGCTCATGGTTAATATCAGAGAGACCAGAAAAATGAAAATGTGGGAAACAGAAGACAAACTGAAAGAGCAAAAGCCTAGAAGATCCCAATGATTAATCAACCTCCGTCAATCCCGCATCAGTTAGGAGATATTTAGATCTCAGACTTGTCTATACATGTTTTTTTTTTTTGAAAAGGTAACATATTATATATAAATAAAAGACTACACAAAAGCTGCGAAGTCACCCATAATTACAAGGAGGCCTAATAAGAAAAGACACTCCTAATCCTTTGTCTTCTCATAAGGATTCTAAAACATCAAAAATAGAATCCTGATCTTCTAAATATTCTCCTTTACACCAAAAGTAAAAAAGAACTAAACATTTCATTTTCATCTTTTGAATGTTACTGTATCTATCTTCAAAGCATCTTTGATTTCCTTCTTCCCAGATTGTCCACCAGATGCAAGATGGGACAATCTTCCATCTATCTTTATTACTGGATAGCTTGCCTTCTCTATTTTTCTTGGCATAACCCACAATATTCCCCTCAAATTGATGAATATCCTCCATAATTGTAAAGTCACGCTACATTGCAAAAAGAGATGATTAATTGTCTCTGCCTCCTCTTCACTCTATACATGTTTAACTAGGTTAATCCCAAATTTTAGGTAATATTCCTATACGTGAAAGAATGAAAAGCCTACCCAGGTCGCATCCAAATAGAATTAGTAACGTAACCTAGAGTACATGGGCAGTTGCAGACTCATCATTTAGAGGCCTCGTGTTACCTGCCAAAGGTCCTAGCTTCACCTTAATCGACTACATTAATCCAACACTTCCAAAGTGACCTCTCGTTTTCCAAGGGTCTCGACATCCTCTCTGTCTCTGTGAAATTTCATGTCCTCCAACATTTGAACCCTAAACCCCAAGTTCAGATAACAAGGGATCAATACTCGATGTTTTTTCTACCTGATAAGAGGGATAAATGTTAGTAAATCTTGCTCATGAGAAATAACTCCCATCTACCATCATCAATTGTACACTTCTGAACAATTATCTCTTTGCACATCAGAGTAAGGATCATTCCAACCCTCTCTCAGTTGAAACTTGAAAGTGCTCCAAATCCAAATGTATTTCTAGTGGACGGGTCAATTTATCCTCTGGAACAAGGTACATCATTCACAGGCTCAAAGTACATGTTTACAAGCTTCTAGATTGCTAGGATAAAAGAAAAAAAATAATTCCTTGACATAGAGCACAGCAGATAAGTCCAAGCTCTCTCATGCTAAAGTGCAACTCACGCAAAGTGAAAGATGTGCGATGAACATAAGACTTTGAGCTTGGCGTTCCATGTTTGAATATAAATCAGACAAATAGACATCATAAGCAATAAATGAGCGTGGGACAGGTTCAACATACACACAACGCAATGCTCTACCAATGCAACTGGAAGAAAACTAAAATAAAATACACACCTTAACCGCACCATCATAGTCAGTGGTAGCCAGATAGTTCCTGATATAACTGTTCCAGCAAATGCAGCTGAGCTTAGATTTGTTTGACATCTCGATAACTGGGTAATGAATGTCGACAGAATCATTAAAGAGGGCATGATACTCAAATACTTTAATTTTCTTCGACACCCCACCAGCAGCTAAATATTCCTCATCCCTGTCAAAGCTTAGAGAACAAATGACATTTGCAGAATTATTCAGATCTGTATTTCTTAATATTCCCCTTACTCTGAACTTGCTATACCGAGCATACTTGCATAAGCCATCAAAAAAAACCCCAACCTGATCTGTGGGTCTATACTTCTCATTATCATTTCCTGTCGAGACAAAGTTCTCCTGATTATTAAAGATTTCTTCAGTTCTACGGACCATGGCAACATCATCAGAAGGCTGAATATTGGATCGCGTATAGAAGTAAGCCCTCTCAAGCTGCCTGATATTCTTGATCAATCTAGTTTCACTCTCACATACAGGTGGAAGCTTCGGATACGCATCTGAACTTGATACTCCTTTCTGAATAAACCTGTTCTCCCACAAAACAAGAGATTCCCGGTGTGAGGAAGAACACCGGCCGTTGCTGCTTTGGCGTCTCTGAACCTCTTGGACATCTGCTTCTATACATTTGAGTTCTTCCACTAGCTTTGAGGCATCCTTCTGCTTTTGATCTTGCAGTGACATGAGGAAGTACAACAACAGTTGTGACTCAGATTCCTCTTCGTGAATAGACGACAGTGATAAATCTCCACGTAATTCTTTAATACCACCAATAACTTCAGACTGTAAAATTTCCCTGTTCCAAAGCAATAATGAGATAACTGAAGTACTGTGAAAATACTAATAAAAAAAGAAGACTGAAAAAGAAACCAGGAGGTTTCAGTGCACACATGACTATAAGTTAACGTTTCACATTTAGAAAATCACAAATTTTAAGTGAGCGAGGAAGTTCCGATACATAGCAGCACTTCACTAAAGCTCATTAAATTAGGGTCAAAAGAATGTAAACAACGGCAAGAGAAGCCAGCAATCATTAGCTTGAGCTCATTTCTCCATAGGCATTCACACATATTCTCAGTTAAGGAGCCACGAGGAAACAAACAGATCCAAAAATTTTGACCACCTTGTTGTTGGACGTGCTGAAGGTTCTGGATGAAGCAGCCAAAGACAAAATCCAGCTTCTTTGGGATGCTCTGACAAGAAACAAGAGGGAAGAATCCTATGGCGAAGATCAAGCATTGCAGCTGCATGAGACCTTTCACAGTCAAATGAGCTAAGCAACTGAAAGAAAAAAAACCTATATTAGTCCCTAAAATACAGTATCAACTTAGTGCTCTAAGATACCACTTAAAAGGTGGAGAACAGTAGTTTTGCTTGCTTCACTGAGCAAAAGTAGACATATGGATGTTATAGATGCATATTCTGCTAGATATACAAAGATTAAGGATGATCGTAAACTTATCTTAGAGAAAGCGAGATATACCCTAGACCTTGTTAGAGAAATTACAAGAAATATTCTAGATTCTTACACATCCTAGCTGATGAAACTTATATATGATCCACCTTATCCACTACTTAAGCTAGAAATGAGCTAACTACCTCGCTCAAGATTTGACATCACATGACCCACATCGTACTCCTACTTAACTTCTCGAGCATTTACTGCACTACTTGGATTTCTAACAAATGACAACAGAATAGGGAAAACCACCAACTCTAGAAATTATGATGAATCAAGAATGAATGTCATTGCGATTAGAGTGCTATGACTCATGCCTAAGTGATTGAACTTCCTGCACAAATGAGACAAAATATATATATATATATATATATATATATATATATATATATATATATATATATATATATATATTTTACTAGAAGTTTATCCTCAAACCTCAAAGAGAAGAACCCCCAGGCAGTAGATGTTTGATGAAAATGTGCAGCCACCCTCACTGAACTGCTCAGGACTGGTATACCACTTCTTCTCCAAATTAAAGCTCATGGAAGTCAGCAATGGTTTTGACATAATGGACAGTTGAGGCAATATAAAATTGTTCGAGTTAAGTTCTGTCTTGAGGCAATCCTCTGCATTTGACTCATCTCCATAGCCTTGTGCAGCATTTAACTTAGTGTTTGTGCAAGCAGATTTATGGCCTGACATGAAGGGATATTGAGACCACCTCCTATTAAGGTGCGTGTCTTCACTAAGTTTTTGCTTCTTCACACAAGGATCGATCGAGGAAGAAATGCTTTTTCCAGATGAACTTCTCTCTTTCTGACTATGCTCCACCTGAGGAACACCTCGATCAATCACATTTTCAGTGGACTGCGTGCGTACAGATGCTCCAATATATACAACTTGGTTTGAGCGCAACAATTTAAAGCAAGATGGACGCAAGTCTTGCAAGATAATTCCTTGTGAGTGAGCAAAATCCACCAAATCCAGAACTTGTTTGAAAATATACAAGCCTTCAGCTTTGTTCAATTTATTTCCCCCAGCTTTCAGCCGTTCTCTTAAACTGATCCCATCTTGATAGACATTGGGATTAACACTGCAGCCCATTTTGGGGATACCTTGAAAAGGTGAAACGATGGTGGAAGAAGCATTAGGACACTGCGGATACATCTGGCCTTGAGACTCACTAGCAGATACATGGGGTAACTGCTTTTTGCATATGATTCCTTTGCCTTTTAATGTGCTTTTCACAATATATTCAGAAAACCCCGACTTGGAAAAAATCTTCGTCCGGATACCCTCAGAAGAGGGTAATAAATTGTTCGAAACAGCTTTATCACCATTATTCTGCAAATTTTCTCCGTCTAGATTACGATTTTCATTTATTTTTTTCTGATTCTGATTCACAAGTCCGGTAAATAATGTGTCTCCATCTTCCCCATGTGAGCTTCCGCATGCAGATCCACCTGCTAGCTGATAAAACCACTGGTTTGGCCTAACCTGCATTATTTCTTTATTGCCCAAGGTATCAACTATAGCCAAGTTTTTCCCATTGTAGTTTCTCAGTGTCAATTCTTCAACCATGACCCCAGCATCATTCATACAACGAGGACTAGCACTTGCATGTTCAGAAGATCCAATTCTGTCCAGATTCTTACCATCGAGGATATCTGTAAACAAATTGTGAGTACTCTGGTAATGATCACCTTCACTAAGTGTGACCACTTCATGTGATTGCAGCATATTGGAGTTTCCGGACCTCAAAGTATAGTCATTCTCCTTACTTCGAAGTTGTCTACCATCAAAGGCATCCAGTCCATTCACCTCATCACCAATAGCTTCATCAACAGTTTCTTCCATAATGTCAATATGTTCTAGTTTAATCTAAATAATGCTGCAAATCAGACCTTGTCAAGGAACAGAAAATACTTACATCATATAATAAAATAGTGAATTAATGATAACTCAAGACAAAATGTAAAATTGGAATAAGACTGTGCAAAAATATTTTCCTTTTTTCTTTTGTTTGTCAAAAGGTGATTACATGTATGCTGTTATACTTGTTCAATATGGATCAGATTTTTCAGAGAAGCTCCTTTTAGACGAAAGGACAGAAGGAAACCACTAACAGAAACCGCTACCAGAAGACCTACACCCCCTGCCAGAACCCATCCCCTGACTGCCCCACTAAACTGCAGAGCATTAAAACAATCGCCGGATCATTAGCATTGTGGCGCTACACCAGATCAAGTTTTGGTCAAATTATTGATCTTGAGATTACATGTGCATCATCAGATTGCTTCCACCAAGAAACATCACTTATCCACCAAATAGACCGCCTTAAAATGATGCATTACTGCCATTTTATCAAAAACTGAAGCATGTGTTGAGAGTCGTGCAATCAAATGAGCACACATATGAAGTCAAATTCGAAGGGTGACTTTTAAAGTGGCAACCCAAAAGACACTTTTCCTGACTTTTTTCTTCGAGAATCTAAAACTCATATAAAGTGGTAGGCAAGATTGTTACCATACGCAAAAAGGAGACTCATAGAGTTGCAGCGGCAAAGAAAGCTACTAGTGGGCCCCAAATAATTCCATGTCACAGAATATGCTTCCTTGCTTCTACAAGTCACGGAGTAGCGGTATGTTTTTAGGGTGTTGCTAGTAGAATTGGAATGAAATTTGAGGGCACTGTTAAATCAGGGTATCTGCTTTAGTATTATTTGTTTATTTATGTTTCTTTAGTTTCTAATTGGACATTTTTCTCCACGTTAACAACACAACCCATTACCTATACAAACTTTAGTGTCTTTTCCAATTCTTCTAAAAGCTAGTTCAGGATTTCCATTAGCAAGTTACACTTCCATATTTCTTTGTCAAAAGTTGAGTAAGAAACTAAGCCCAAAGCCTTTCCATTAAGCCAACATATTAACTCCCAACAACAATTCCAACCCAAAAAAGAAATTACTAAATCAATTTCATCATGCTGATCAAGAATAACAAGCAACGAGCACATCTAAACGGATTTTTTTGATAACCGAGAAATCTCCGAGAGCCCGTGGCACACGGTTTGAAACTCGGTGGATAATGGGCTCATCCCCTACCCTTCTCCACTTAAATACCAGGCTTTTGTCTACGACGGGGTTCAAACCCATGACGTGCACCTAACCCACAATTTAAGCTGGGAATTGACCCTGAACACCCTAATTCTTAGTTTTTCTATTAAGCACACACTCCACATCAACATTAGAGAAAATTGGATACACATTTTATATCAGCAAAAACTATTGTCATATTAGCAAGCTTATCCAATACCTCAACACCCAAAATAGCCGAGTAGCTTACTAACTTTAACACTGTATCAATCAACTAATCCTTATCCAAAATCAGTAGGATTTTACACTATAAACCCTCTATATCCATTCCACCACACATAAACATCTCATCCACTCTAATACTACTAAAAAAAGCTTCCTTCTAAGGCAAATTAGGTTAGCTAATTAACAACAAAGAGCAAAATTCAGTTTTTCTTTTCTAATTTTCTTTTCCACCGCCACAAAACAATAAACGACAAACAGTTCAATTGACAACAAATGCATTTACTTTACGGGTACTCAACCAAAAAAAAAACTATAAAACTGAAATTGAAGTGATAAAACGAATGAATCAATTGAAATAATTAGCATTAAAACGTACGAATTTGTGACGGCGACACAATTCATTCATTCCGAAACTTTAAAAAAAAAAACTTCCCTTTTAAGGCAAATTTAGGTTAGCTAGTTAACAACAAAGAGCAAAATCCAATTTTTTTCTCAAATTTTCTTTTCCACTGCCACAAAAAAAATAAAGTACGAACAATTCAATTCACAACACATGCATTCACTTTACGGTACTCAATTGAAGTAATAAAACGAATAATTAATTGAAAAAAATATGCATAAAAACTTACGAATTTGCGACGGCGAAACGGAGAATCGGCAGTGAGCAGAGAGAGTACGAAGCTAAGATTAAAGGAAAGTGGTGAATTTTGTGAGCCATGGAAAAAAAAATGGGCTTAAAAAAGAGTTTGTTTTGTTTTTATAAAGATTGTGTGAAAGAGAAAGAGAAGGGAAAAGAGGGAAAGACTTATCGGACTTTACCTGAAATGGCATAAATATCTCTGGCATCTTATTGGTTGCTTTCAATTTTTTACTCTCAATAATTACTAACCACTAATTAAATGTTTTATATGTTTATTGAGTTTTATTTCACCAGTAAAATAGTGGTTATAAAAGCTTCTCTCGGATAGAATTAAAAATTTAAGCTAAATTGTTTCCAAATTTAGAAAGGGGACATTCTTTTTTGAACGGACCAAAAAAGAAATAGGTTCACATAAACTTGAATGGAGGGAGTATATAATACGGTTAGATTACTTAAAATATATAATAGGATGTGATGTCTTTGTAAAGTTGGAGCAACACTAAATTTATCTATGTGTGATTTATAGGTCACAGGTCCGAGCCGTAAAACCAGTCGCTGATGTTTGCATCAGAATAGGCTCTATGTCACCTCATTTGGGTGCGGCCCTTAACGCAAAAAATTTCGTGCATCAAAAATTAATTGTACTCATAATTTTTATTTAATTTATATTCAATGACAATATGAGGATTTTTATTGAAGAGTATAATCTAACTAGTTATAACCAACTTATCAATTGACGCTTACTTGGCCTTACATGTAATAGATTTGAAAAATAAAAACTATTTACTTATACATTGTATAAAAGTAAACATATACTACTTTTTACGCATCAACCCCTTGTTTTAACTTAAAACCCTTCTTTTAAAAGTTGAAACTCTTTTTTAAAATATAAATGGGTAGTGTCAGACTAGTTCACACTCAAAAATTTAAAGAAAAATTATAATTAGTCCATTACCAAAAATTTCGTACTAGTAATATATAAAAGCTTTGGCATTCAGGAAAAAAAAGGCAGCCCGGTGCATTAAGTTTCCGCTATGTACGGGGTCCGGAAAAAGGCCGGACCACAAGTGTTTATCGTGCACAACTTTACTCTGTATTTCTGCAAAAGGCTGTTCCACGGCTCGACCTGGTCACATGACAATAATTTTACCAATTATGCCAAGACTCCCCTTCGGCATTGAGAAATGTGTTTTATGAACAAAATAAACACACGCAAAATAAATATTGAAGCCAATCTCAACCACTTGATGTCCAATTAAATTCTTTCTTTTTTAATCATAAAGACCCTTAATTATATAATGTGGAATAAAGCTTAACTTTTATAAAGTAAGTCGTATTTGGAAACTTAGAATCATTAAGAAGGCAAGATAATATAAAAAATAAGAATTTGATACATTTTCTGAAGGTTTACAAAGTTACAAAACTGAAGGTTTATAATGAGATATGAGAAAATGAAGATTATGGATTTGAACATGGCAATGCACTTAGCTAAAAGTTTCTTTATACATTTTTTTTTGTCTTTCCTTTTCTTTCTTTGATGAACATCAGTCATAAAATTAGTTTTGAACAAATAATTTCTTTTTTAATTTAATACCTTAATACGCTTGTGAAAAGAGTGGGCATTAAAGATTCAGACAACGTACAAACTTCTTCTTTTTTTCTTAAATTCCGTATCGAGTCAAACTACAACTACTACCCAGTATAATTCCACCAAGTGTGGTCTGGGGAGAGTAGAATATACGTACTGTTTCCGAATGACCCTTGGCTAAAGAACGTGAAGGAATCTCTGATAGCAAGTGATAGCAAGACAAATAGTTAGAAAACTAAATCAGAGATAACAAAAAAAATAGCAAGATAGTACCGATAACAAGTAATATCAAGATAGTATATTTAGACAAATAAGTCCAAGGCGGCACACGAGAATATGACGAAGTCCTGCTAGCAAACTACGGAATTACCGAAGGTAAGTAGCAACAGAATAAGACTTGCGGCTATAATAAACTAAGGTGTCGAGTCAAACTACCTCACCTAAATTTGAAACGGAGAGTGTACTTGTTTGGACTTTTTTCCAAAGATTAGACCATATTGGAAAGGGAAAGAAGAAGGAAAGTCAGAAGAGAAAAGATTCTTTATGAGATTTTAGTACATAGCCAATGAGCTTAAGTTATACACATTAACACCAAAAAGATCATTTTGTACTATTAATGCAATTTAACATATAGTAACAGATTATTTTTTATTTTTTATTAAATTTATCTGTAATTATGTTATAGTGACTTGATTGTATGCATAAATATTTTTTACAACATCACTTGTCAACTGGCATACGAAAAGTACAGATCTCTTAAATTGTGATCTTTATTTCGTACAATTATTAAAGGGAACCATCTAAAATGGAATGAAAAAGATGTGGTACTGTAGAAGAGAAGTTTGAGTCAAATTCCAACAAGTTAAAACAATAAAAAAAAAAAACAAGTTATAGTTATACGAAAGTAGAAAAGAAAAGATGCATTGTATTCTGGGGTATGAAAAGATCTTTGGTAGGGATTATTTTTTCCCGAATGAGATCCTATACGATGCGAATTCGGATATAATCGGGCTCTAATACAAATATCGGACGCCGGATGAGAAACCAATGCATTCTATTGTGGTAGGCGCTTGGTTTGGTTCAAAATGAATCTCTCTCTCTCTATTTTGAAGAAAGTATATATGCAGTGGCAATGAATTATCCACGTCTGTTGGGCATGGCTTTGATGCAAATTGCAGCCAATGGTAATGAAACAACGGTTGTCAGGCTGCCATCATCTGCAGCTGCAAAATGGCTAATGAAGGTGTCTTTTCTCTGTATCACGTGGAACCCCAATGGGACCAAACTCAACCTCATTCACACATTGGTCGTTTTCCTCCAAAGTCATTTCCAGCTCATTGGGTTACTTATATAGCCGACGGTTTGTCGGAAACAACATTTTTCTTACCTCAAGTTAGGGTATAATCTTCGTACACTCTATCCTTCCCAAACTCTACTTGTGAAATTTTACTGAGTTACTGTGTTATTATTGTTGGGTTACCTATATATGGTTCAATTTGTTTTTTTGCTTTTGAGTAAAAGTTAGCGTACCATGTAAATAAAAGTTAGTATACTATGTATCAACACTAGTCCGAGACTAATCCAACCCCAAAATCTCCAATTAAGTATAAAGAGATCTCAATCATCTCATCACATCGTGTCTCAGTAATTCCATTCTGATTCATTTTACCTATTTGATTCACTCTTTATCAAAAGGTTCTCTATTTTCAATGTTGAACCCAAAACCTTTTGTTATGAGCAAAGACACCCCAATTACCATCCACCTATACCCTTGGAGTAATGGGGTAGTGTCATTCTGATTCATTATAGCAATTACAAACATACAAATTTAGTTACATTAGTTAACAAGATATACTTTTAAAATAAATATTTAAAAGTAATACTTATAGGTGAAGGTCTTTTAAAGCTAAATCAAAGCCAGCTCCTTGGACATTGTATCAAGAGGAGTCAAGGCCAAAAGCGCAATATAAGAATTGTTTACATACAAAAGAGAACGAGTTTTCATCATGGATATACAAAATACACAAACTGGCAGAAACACCACCCCCTAACTTTTTACATCTCTAGAATCATCTATGACCATGAAACCTATAGTATATACCAGTTGTTAACTATCCATAATCAGCTATGCACACCAAAAGTCACAAAAAATAAATCAGATTGACATATCTTGGTTTCTACCTGCTAGTAAAAACTGCCACAAACAGCAAAAGCGTCCATCTTGTGCAGCAATAGTTGGGACTGGGAGTGATCAAAATATATAAGTCCATAGTAAAGTTATGTCAGAAACAGCATTTGTGTAGCAAAAAGGGAGATAGCTTTTCTGGTAAACTAGAATATAGCTCAAGGGCGAAACAGATGATCCTCCTTGCTAAGGTATATCTGATATAGTTGGTGACAGTACTTAGTTGCTAATCTTTTACATTCTGCATGATCCTTTGGACGTACTTCCACCACGGCTTTTCTGAGTTTATGTTGTGGATCCCCATCGATCAGATATTCACCCAAAGCAGTTATGCTGCAAAAAAACACATGAAAAATCTTATAGAAAGTATAAAGGATATAGTGCCAGTTTAAAGAAACTAAAATACAAAGCCACGAGAAAAACAATCACATTGATTATAAAGAGAAACTGGATATTGCATGTTCCATTTCAACAATTGGATGAAACAAATCCAACAATCTGATCAAGTAGTCAGAACTGGATCCAATCATTTACCCCCACAATAAGCTTGTCACAAATATATGTCTTGGGTCTGTATTTTTACACAATCCTTACTGTAGACAATCCCCTCTTAAATGTTTCTACTTAATTTGCATGTTTCCCTTGTGTTTTGGTGTTATAAGTATCTTTGCTTCCTATGTTTTCACTACTCCCACCTTCTAACCTTCAACTTCACAATTTTGGCACTAACCACCTTGAACCTAATGTAGACACCCAAAAAAATGATGTTCTTCTGGAATTTTTGGACACCAACCTCTACATAAGTCGTTCAAACACACAGTTACTTGAGCATTGCTGCCAAGAAAAGAGGAAAGTTTTAAGTCTTGCAGAAGCCATACGTGAGTTAATCCGTCAAATGAAGGCAGCTGTAAATGTTCTTTCAAGTTCAGCCTCGTTAGCACCAAAGAAAAGCTGAAGCTTAAAAGCAGTGCATGAAGAATACAAGGACAAATTTACTAATACCTAAAGCCCAAAGACATGAAGTGTGCTTCAAGGATAAAATTTGATTGATCTCATGTTACAAAGACCTTAACAGGCAAAACCATGCAGAGACAGATAATACTGTAACAGTCAGTAATGAGAATCGATCAGCGCAATCCAATGAAGAGGAGGTTCAGATAACCTTTTAGAAACAAAATAACTCATCTATAACTTTTCATGAACCAGGACTAAATTTTCAACATGTATTCTCAACATTTTGAAAAATCAACACAAGCACCCATGTCATCTGCTAGAAACAAGACATAGGTAAATCAGGCAAAAATGAAAGGTTTGGTTACCTTTTTCCTCAATATACATGAGTTCAGTTAACTTAAGATTAGTTGTTCCCCTCTTTTTGATTTGATTATCGTAAATTAAACATCTGGATTGACTAGACATCATTTTTATCTTTGATAAGTTAACTAAAGACCTTTAAGGAAATGAAAGTTGAAAGATGTAATTACAACTGAAGCAAAATAAGAGCCCATGCTCAAGGATAGAGGCAAGGAAAAAGTAGTTATTTAAAAAGTACTATTGAATCCAATACGCTATCATATTGTAAAATCAAAAGTAGGCATTGCACCTTATACAACCCAAGAAGACATACCATTAGGACTTTGAGAGGGTTCGTAGACATTCTTTTACGTAAATAAACCCAATTAGTGACTTTTATAGGCAATTGGAAGCATGGTGCATTTGAGAAACAGTACACTTAGCAATTAGCATGAAAAAGTATTAGTACTTTATAAAACTTTTGACAGTGGATTGTCAGTCCCAAATTTCACACTATGAACTTATTTTGGAGAAACTTGTAGTACCATTAATCAAATTAAGAATGAATTATTTTATGTCGCACGCAATATTAAGGTCTTTACATTGCAATTAGGTATTCAATCTCATTGTTCATTCAATTTTAATTTGCAAAACAAGTTTCACATTTACAATAGAATTCTATTCTGATTTCCTCCATCAACTGTGAGTTGCGAGTCCTTTTTCTGCAGAACAACAAGGATGCATTAATGCATTCACCTATTAGTGAATATATCTACAAAATGAACAGCACATTGACAAGAATAATGGCATTGGAAGAAACATCTTTCTTGCTATTAACCAGCAATACTTGCTTAGTGGTTATGCTGGTAAGGTAAAATAGCAGTTTAATAATCAAGCTAATAATGTTACCACTAGAAAGATAAACCTGTCAAAGGATCAGGTAGTAATTGCACGTACCTGATTTTATCAGATTGACTCAAACCCTGACTCTTGGTAAAAGAGAGGCTCTTGGAAGAGATGTTTGGAGAAATCTGCTGCCTATAAAGTGCGCATATCGCCTTCATGCAGAGTTCAGCATCCTTCTCAAAGGATGATCTTAAACAATCTTCCGAGAAAAACGTTTTACCTTTAATACTTTTGATTAGAATTTCCATGCTTTTGTCACTCAAATCATTGTCTGAATCCGACGAACTATCAATAATCCCATTAAGCTTGTACAGATCAGACTTGGAAGAAAGTTGAGAATAAAACTTCCTTTCGTTTTTGTCATCACAGAGTCTTATGAACCCCGTTTTATGGGAACTGCCATGAGCAAAGGACAACATTCCATTATCATCACCCTTGTCGCTCTCAATTAAACTTTTTTTCCTCTTGGACAATGAAGTAGATAATTCCTCTATAACCTCTTCTTTTATACGCTTACGAAATGTTAAATTCCTACCGACACCATCACTGTTTGAAACACATGCCATTGCCTTCTCATCATCACTGTCACTAATGAGAACAATTGATGACCCAGCCCTGACAGGTACTGTATCCAAGTTATTCTTGATGGAGTCTCCTGCTTCACATGCTGATAGATCTACAATAGGTGCTCTATTCTCACAAGCCAAGATGGCAGGGAGAGGGTCTGAAAGAAAGCACCAAGAATTTAGTCAATTTGCGCGAGCATGTCGGTGCCAGAAACACTTGTCTTCACTAAAGTATGAGAGCCATCAATAGAGTGCACATGAATGCACCTGTGTTTGTGTAGATGTGTATATGCACATTACCTCTAAAATGTATACAGATTGTTCCTAGAATCAATCATCATGTGCAGAACCTCTAATCAGAGTCATGGTTATACTACACAAGAGTTGAAAGAAAAGAAAACCGAGGCCATCTAATGGTCTTTGAGTTATGCCAAAAGTGTAAAAGTGACTACAAAAAGCTCAACCTTAAATTTTAGCAAGTAGTTCTCAAGTTAGGAGCATCAGAAACTAACAATAGGAGCCACTATTACCCCATTATCTAGAGATATAACCAAGCACATTTATTAGACTATTACTAGTGTAACAATATATTGTTTCAGGGTTTTGATAATTATAAATATTGAAACCATTGAGACTGGGGCATTCACCGAAAGTATATTAAACTATTAGATAGAGGACTTAAACGTCATACTTATTCTTCCTTAGTGCAAGGCATAATATAGTTCAACTATCACTTATTAGTAAGATAGAACGTCTTTGATAACTAATACATCCAATGTTCTTCAAAACTGCTGGCTGTAGCTCCTAGTCAAACAGCTACATGAGATATTTATATAATGATTGACACTATCCAATAGTCATTCAACATGGAGCTAAATTGACTTCTACTCCACTTTCTAGATGAGTTCATTTGCTACTTTTCCGCCAAGAAATTTAAAATTCTAATTTCCAACTATCTTCAAGTTGCTACACTAATTTCAGCAGGATGGGAGAGCAATGCAAAAGGCTGGGTAGCATTTCTTTTCAATTTATGTTATATGACACAAGGTAAAGACCTTGCTATTCTTCAGCTAAGCACAAGCTGCAACGAAGTATGCTTGTTAAAGTTTTCAAACAAATAAGAATAAATTCCAAGGAAAATGATGACTTTTTCACTTTTCTCTCACACACCATGCAACATATAGCTGCAAATATCTTGGTCAATTTACATACAATGCAAGATATAAGACTGCAAATATTCTTGATCATAGAATGAAAAGGACTGACGTCTTCACTTCTCAAACCAAAACTAGTTGAGAGGTCGGTTAAACGCCACAAATAACAAGACATGTTTGAATAAGTACCTGCTTCTTCTGAACGACATCTCTTCTTTCCTAAGTTGGAAAGATTGCTATTTACCCGGGCAGAACCACAAGCAGAAGGCATGGGATGAAATGCCTGGGCATCAGGACAATTATCCATATTTGTTTTTGCTGAAACAAAGTCCGTATTACCACTACCTGCAGCGACACCCATGTGACCATGTCATTCCTAGGCAGCTAGACTTTGAAAGTAAATAAGAATATAAACCACAACAACTGCACACAATCACCAAATCAGAGTCTACCACATTTACAGTTCCACACAAATACTTTTTTTATACAGTGGTGTCCAAACCAACTTGCATGCACCTCGACTATTCCACTAGGTAAATGCTAGCTCCCACCAGCACACGTACTAACTCTGCCCACCAAAACTTAGGCAAATGGGAAGAGATCACTTACTATTTTTTTTACAGAGACCTCATTGACCACTAGGTCACACCCTTAGGTGCCACACAAATACTTAAGTCCACAACCAAGTAAAAATTACAGCAGTCATGCATAAATATAGATAAGTATTTCCACTCAATAACTGTAACTAAAATGTTGAAAAGCCAACACATAACACAATTAAACTGTAAAAAAAAAAAAAAAAAAAAAAATGTAAGCATAATACCTTCCTCTACAACCTCCTCCTTCGCCGCTTCCCAATCTTCTGCCATTTTTTGGATCACCGAGACATCCTCATCACGTTTTTTCGCAATCTCCTCTTCCAGGATTGAAATTCTATCAGCCAACTCTTTATATTTTTCCTCAGCTTCAGCTTTTTCTTTTTTCAGTACCTCACATTTACTCTGAAAATTATTCATTTGATCCTCCATATTTAACTTATCCAGTTCAACTAAAGCATGGGCCTTCTCTGCTAAATAAAAATCCCTCTTAATATTTTGAATTTCTGTCCTCAGCTGTTTTTCTCGGCCCATTAAAATTTTTTCAACCAGAGAGAAATCCCTCTCCCGAAAAGCCGATTTTAGATAAGAAATCAGCTCCGGTATAGTTGAAGCTTGCGAAATAACTTCTGGCTTCGATTCGTATACCGATTCTGAATTCCGTGTGGTTCTCACAAGCGAGGTGATTACTGGTCTTATCTCAGCACTCATCGTAAAACTATTTAAAAGCTAAAAACTGATGAGACCAAGTGAAAACCTAGAACGTTTTGAAGAGCGAAGAGTTCTTACGCCGCCGTCGCCGGCGAAGACGATGGCCGGGGAGCGGTGAGTGCGGTGGATTTTCGGAATCTTTCCGTTTCAGGTGAAAAGTCGCGTGGAGTGTGTACGGGTCACGCGAGGGAAGATGAAGCGGGAAATAGGCTTAGCTGTCCCTTTGGGATAATAAAACAAAATTTATTTTCATAAATAAATAAAACGTTTTTTTATCATCCAATAATACTTTGTTACTTGGCCACCAAGGATAAGTACACATGAGATGAAACTTTAGAATTGTTTGGAAATTAGGAAGATGACAAAATAGGAATAGGATAAAATGGTAGAGAAATTTTTTTCCTTTGCTTGGTTAAAGAGAAATTGGTAAAAAAAAAAAGAAATGCGAGGGAATTGAGATAAAAAAAACATTAGGTGGGCGTTTGGACATAACAATTGTAAAATTTAGAAAAAGGTGAAAACAATTTCAAATGCAAATGACATTTGAAAATTAGAATTGTATTTGGACATAATATAATTTTAGGTTGTTTTTGAATTTTTGTAAGTGATCTGAAGTGGAAATTTTGAAAAACAACTTTTTGGTGTTTTTGAAATTTTCGAAAAAAATCTCAAATTTCATCTTTAAATGAAAATTGAAAATTTTATGACCAAACACTGATTTCAAAAAAAAAAAAGTGAAATTTTCGGGAAAAAAAGGAAAAAAGAAAATTATGGCCAAACGGGTCCTAGGTGACTCTTTTGAAAAAGACAGAGTTATCTAATATTTATGTTAGTGAAATATAGCAAGTATCCGATAAAATAGTGGTGTAAACTAGATTGGAATTTTACTGCTGTTAAAAAGAGTCAGTAAACTAGATCGGAATTCCATTGTGTTAGTGAAAACTTCTTATCCAAGAGGAGATGTTCTCCTCATTTCAATTTCTTTAGTTTTCTACTCTATTTCGTAAAAATTGCACGGGGCGCCTTATTTGGTCGTCTCCATTTAATATATACTCATTTTTTAAAAAATTTTAATTTGTACCCACTTTTAAACAATTTCAGCCCATTTTCTCCTCTTTCGTTTTCTTCTTCTTCTTCTTTCTTCTGCTGTTGTTGGTGTTGCTATGAATATACAGTAATACAGATATATGTTGAATCCTAATGACTCGTATATCAAGTTTACGAGGGTTTTATGAAGCTTCTCGCTCTCTCTTTCTTCTTCTTTTTGCTTTCTGTATTGTATCTTTCCCTTTCTCAGTTGCTCATCCTTTATTTATTTTTACAATATAGCTTCTACACCAGCAGGGTACAGACACCATAATAATCTTGTGTTAAGAAAATTGAACCATGAGTTACTAGTGTTTCAATCTGGCTAGTATATTAGAAAGCTTTTTCAAAAACTTTAGTTTATATAGTGCTGAAGTTTTTACAAATGAACTAAATAACTTCAACATCTCTGCTGAAATTTTTGAAAAAGCTTATCCAGGACAAAAAAACTTCAGCTTATTTAGTGTTGCATCTTCTGCTGAAATTTTTGAAAAAACTTAATGACAAAACTAATGAATCCAGAACAAAAAACTTCAGCTTATTTAGTGCAATTACAAACAAAAACTTCAGCAAATAGAGAACAAAATTTCAGCTACTATGCTTAAGTTCAGCAATTACAAACAAAAATTTCAGCAAATAGAGAATAAAACTTTAACTACTATGCTTAAGTTCAGCAATTACAAATAAAAACTTCAGCACACTTGCTACTTCAGGCCCGTTTACTAGAATGCTGAAATTTTGCGTGATTGTCTTTGCTACTTCAGCCTCGTATCCTGAAGTTACGCGAAAAAGCAGGTACGCTTGCAAATTTTTTTCCAAAGCGGACACAAGTTGAAACGTGATCTAAAAAACGGGTATAGATGCAAATCCCCCTCTATTTTTGTATGTAAAAAGATAGTTGCTAGTACTTGCTAATAACTACATCTATCGCGTCTTGGATTATTTGTTTTGGGGCTAATGATAAAAATCCCTCACTCCACGCGATAAGTAAAAGCTTGAGCATAGCACAAATATTGCATATTTTTAATAAGTGCATAGCGCACGTATTGTCACTCAATTGTAACCAAAATATTGAATAGCTTAGGCATAGTAATTGGTAACTGTTACAGATGTCACAAATATCCATACAAGTGCAATACCTTCGCCTCCTGATTAACCGCGCCCATTTTCAGTTGAATCACAACCAGTGGCGAAGTTAGGAATTTCTTTAAGGATGTTCAAATTTAAAAGAAGTGAAAAAAATTCCGACAAAGGGTGTTAAATATGTGTTATATACTTCGAAAATATAATATTTTACCTATGTAAACAGTGTAATTTTTCGACGAAGGGTGATCAGTTGACCACCCTTATCAATATGTGGCTTCGCCACTGATCACAACCCATGTCAGTCTCAGGTGCATGAGAACTGCTTATCCTTGGTCGAGTCCAAATTGCTGCATACGACCCAAGAAGACATTCTATTAGGACGTCAGAGAGGAAAAACTTTACTATATGCGTCACACAAATGACACTAGTTGTGTGAGGCTTTGTTTTGTCCCACAACAAAGTAGACCCAAGGTTTTGTGGATCCAAATATGTTAGAATTAGGTTCACTTTGTTGTGAGACAAAACAAAGCCTCACACAACTAGCTAGTATCAGTTGTGTGAGGCACAAAATAAAAAATTTCACATCATGACGATTAGAGAATTACACTTCTATTTTGAAGAACTTTTGACAACTAAATGTCGATCTCAAATTCACATGACTAACTTATTTAGTAAGAAATTTGTAGTAACAAACAATCAGATCAATGACGTGTAATACTAAGGCCCTTGCACCGCAATTAAGTACGCGATCTCATTGTTCATTCAATTTCAATATGCACACAAAATTTAGTATTAAAAATACAAGTACATTTTTATCAACTGTGAGTTGTAGATCCTTTTTCTGCTGACCAAAAAGACACATTAAAAGGATACACAACAACGACACTTCAATCCTAGAGCTGTCAAAATGGGCTAGCCTAGCCCAACCCAGCCAAAGTTTTATGGGCTTTTAAATTTCGTGGGCTAGGACGGGTCGATCCTTCATCTATATAGTCCTTAAAATGACCAACCTAGCCCAGCCCTAAGAGGGTCGCGGGCCGGCTCGGCCCTTCAATTTTTTAGAAAAAAAATATTTTTTCAAATCTCTAGATATTTTTTCGTGGCATAATCTCCTAATCATATGAACGACTTCTGTTTATTTAGAGTGTACAAGAATCTTGATATTTGATAAGGAATCTCGTAATTGAAATACAAATTTTCTATATCTCTAGCTCTCCTATTTTCAACGTTACACGAATATTTTTTAAGTACTTTTCTTTCACTTTCCTTAGGTTCCGGAATTGCTTCAATAAGTTTATATGTTAAGGTTTTTTATTTTAGGTTTAACATTATTTGTTGATTTCATAACTATAGTCCATAAAATTTTAAAATTCATGAAATTTGCTAGTGTTGTCAATTTTCTTTGGGTAGTAAAACTTGATCTTTTTCTATATTGAAAAGTAATTTAATAACTAATAATATATTAAAGTAACCAAACTGATTATTGGCCACTTAAAGTAATATTTTCTTTTGAAAAAAATTATTATTGGCCACTTAAAACTTTCCTAGTTCGTTGTTAATTAAGCAAAAGAAAAACTAATCTTGTCATACTACATGCATGTCAAAAATATAAATTATAGTTGATATGAAAGGATAAATGAGCAATCTAAGGTTGGAAAATGAGGATTATAGTTAATATTTTTTTAGTTTTTACTTTTTTAAAATATTTAAATTCAAATTTAATTAATTTTTGGTTCACGGGCCTGCCCAGCCTCGGTCAAGCCTCAAGGGCCAGCGGACTGACTTGGACCGGGCTTATAAGCCTCAATTTTAAATAGGCTAAAAAAATCCCAACTCAATCCTACCCAAGTAGCGGGTTGGGTTGGGCTGGCCTCACGGGCAAAACCCATTTTGACGGCTATACTCAATCCCAAACAAATTGGTGTCGCTATTTGTGAATATATCTATAAAATGAACGGCGAATCAACAAGTTATGCCATAGGAAGAAATATAGTTATCGTGCTTTATCTAGATAAATAAATACATGATTGGAATTCTTACTTTTCCAACAGTACTTGCTTTATGGTTATACTATAAAGGGTCGTTTGGTATGGTGCATGAGAATAATGCTGAATATGGTGTATTAGTAATGCTTGCATTAGTTATGCATTTCTTCTCTATTATTTGGTTTGATGTATTAAAGCATTGCACAATTTCTAAAAGAATTATTTGTTTACAAAAATACTCTCAAAACTAGTCCATCACTCAAACTTTTTAAAAGAAACATATGTTAAGAAATATTTTTACATGAAAAAGTTAAAAAGTAGAACTAAATATTTATTTATAAAAAAGGAAATATGCTAAGTATTTATTTATTTACTAAAGATATAATTGTGTTTCTCACTATTTGAATTATTTTAAACTTGCATTAATATAATAACTAGCATATTTTAATCAAGCATAAATTTTGAAGGACAATTTTATCTTTAACTAAGCTAATGCATGCATTAAAACTCATTGCATTGCTAATACCATGGTTTTCTATGAATTAGTTATGCATAGGATAATACCAAATAGAATGTATAACTAATACTTGCATAACTAATACATAGGTTCAAAATATCTATCAAACAAGGTATTATTAATATACAAAGTTAATGCAAACATTATTTTATCTAATGCATCCTACGAAACGACCCCCAAAGGTGAAGCAGCAGTTGAGTAATCAGGCGAATAAAGTTACAATTAGAAAGGCCAGGTTGTAATTAATTTTTTTTCGAATTTATCAGATTGACTCACTTGCTGACTCTTGGTAAAAGAAAGACCCTTGGAAGATATGCTTGTAGAAATTTGTTGCTGATATATATAGTGCACCTAACTGTATTCATACAACGTCTACCTTCTCTAGTTCTTTTGATTAACATATCCATATTAATTCTTATCACTGCATGGATCATTATCTTAATCTAAAGAACTCTCAATCATTAATCTCATTAACTTTGTATAAATCACATCTTCTAAAAGAAAGTTGAAAATCACACTTCCCTCCGACTTATTGT